TTTTCTTTTGTAGAGACAGGGTCTTATTGTCTAGGCTGGTCTCAAACTCCTGGGCTCAAGGGATCCTCCCGCCTCAGCCTCCCAACGTGCTGGGATTACAGGTGTGAGCCTCCACACTGGCCTGTTTCAAATAATTTTAAATGAAAATTTAAACCATAAAACTAACATCCTACTGAATGATTGACAGGTTATATATTCTAGGTACTAACCTTTGCTTTGTTCCTATTTCCTTTACACAAATCTTCTTTACTGTATCCTGTTAGAAGAAAAATATACATGTATGATTAAGTATGTGTTAAGCTTCACATTGAGCCTCTAAACTGAATGTAATCCCGGCAAGGCCACAGCTGACAGCAGCAAGATAGCTACTGTCCCTTCCAAGTAGTGAAACGGAGCATTTGCTCGAGGAATGACAGGAGCTTCTAAAACGCAACTGACCATTTGGACAGAGGTTTCCAACTCCACCTCTGTCTCTGTGTGTACACACACACACACACACACACACACACACACACACACATTTCATATGGATACACTGTACCTATGAAGTAGGAAGTCTGGGGGAAAAGATGTACACCAAGCATTACCCAGAGGCTATCTCTGGGTGAAGGGATTAAGGATGATTTTAGTTTTCCTCTTTTGGCTTATCTGCATTCTCTGTGCTTACCTAAACTCTTCATGATACACACGTAGTACAGATACAGAATTTTTCTGGCAAAATAAAAATGTCATGCCAATTGAGCATATTCTTTTCCTTTTACAGATACAAGGTGTCTAAATGTATAGATGTCCGTAAAACTGACTTTATGCCAAAAAAGATTATTTTAGATATTTTTTTCTTCCCTATGCATCAATCTCCACAAAAATGCTTCTTCAAATCTTCAGCGTACAAACCTGCAGGTTTTCGTTCAGAGCCCTGTCCTGCTGCCAGGGCGCCACGGCGGCAGGCGTGAAGAAGACAGCAGCGGCGCCTTGGATGCTGAGCTCCGTGATGTAGGTAATTTTGATAAGAACCTTAGCCTTGGGGGGTAAGTTTCCGACACTCACAGTAAAAATGTCCTGAAACAGAAACATATGACTTAGCTTACAACTCTGAAGCACACTCATTCTCGTATTTCTTAAATGACCTGAAGTACAATCTGCCAAATTCTTCCTCGGAAGGCAGTAACGGAGCCTACAGCACACATCGGTGTTGCTAAAGGAGAATCCCGAAGCCGTGCGTCGGGGTGGGGTCGAGGATGTCTGTAGGAGGTGGAGGGAGGGTGTCCCCTTGGCAGCTGCACTGCAGAGAGTCACCCACGGACTCTGCCCAGCGGCCTCGCATGTGCGGCTCCGCTGCCCGGGCGGGCTCTGCTGAGCGGACGGCCCCGCACAGCCACACGGTTCTTTCCTGGAGAACCCGTGGGCCCCCGACCTCCACGGCCCCCAGCCCCAGCTCCACCAGCAGCCGCAGAACCAGAGCAGCTTTCGCTAAGCTTGGCCCTTGCTTAATTCTGTCACCTAGAGTAAATCCATCATTTTATTTTTTAGAAAAAGTATTTTGCTTTCTTTTAATGGGATATTGATAATCACTATAGAAGGCAGCAACCTCGTGACTACCTGGGACAGAAAAAGGAGAGGCTACGTGAATTTTTTTCTGATACCTACATAGAGATCCTCTCAACATCCTCAACTATGTCCACCATTTCAGACGACCATGCTATCGCGACAATTTTGTATACAATTTTGTATATTTAGATTAGGAGTATAGAATATTAATGATCAATATAGGGTTAAAGAGTAAATTTTACTTTTTGACATTAAGGATATCCATCTCAATTAATGAAGAGGTGATTATCAAATAGCTAATAGTGCTAGCCCCTAAAAGAAGCGTACATGTAAAAACCCGGGGTCCATTTGAAAGTCTGCCACTTGGTAGTGTGGGCAGCAGTTCCATTTCTGGGTAGGATATAGGTAGACGCAAGATAACACGCCAGATAACCTTCGAAACATACCTTGTCTTGAACCCATCAACCAAGGGAACTGAATTCCAAAGAGTGACAAGCCCATCTGAGGACAGGGGACACAGGAACTGTGTGAATTCCTACAGGCTGACAATGGGCTAGTGTAT